ACCGAAAAGTGGGTGAAGGAAGACGTCGGACAGGGCAAGATATGACAAAATAATAATTTATAAATTATCAAGGGCTCATGAGGGAGGGGGGAGCGGGGAGGGAGAGGCAAAATGAGGACCTAATGCTAGGGGGCATAAGTGGAGAGGAAATATTTTGAGAACGATGAGGGCAATGAATGTACAAATGCACTTTACACAATTGATGTGTGTATGGATTGTGATAAGAGTTGTATGAGCCCCTAATAAAATGATTAGGAAAAAAAGGGTCTCAGCCAATGGCATGTTAAGCAAATAGTTTCTGGCACTTCAAAGGTTACAGCTCCAATTGCCTGGAAAATTCACAGAAGTGAGCATATCTCCAAGAATATTAGATAAATTAGGTGTTATTCTATTTAAATTCCTAGAAATGTGCTTCTGCAAAAGATCCTTAGATAAACTGTCGGGTCCCATATTTGGCACAATAAACCCCACGGTGTGGGGAAAGATCTTTTCCTTCTGGCAGAACTGAGGTCACAGTTGACATTATAATGGTCCCAGAAAAACAAACCTTCACATTCCAAAATTTTGACCAATTTTAGGTGAGCACTCTAACAGCTGCAAAAAGCAGTGAGTCAAAGTTTCCAACCCTTCCCTACCTCCGGCACCCCCACCCTGCTATTTAAGAAGACATGTAAATGTGCTTGGAATGAGGACACAAGTGGAACATGTACTAGCTTCCTAGGAGTTCAGAAGGAAGATCATTAAAATTTATGATTGCCACAATCCCCCAATATCAGTCTCATGTCATAAAACATGGTGACATTCTAGTGACAAGAAGGAGAAGCAGATTACATCAGGGAAAAAATGCGTGGGACATGCGGTTTTCACAAAAACCTGGGGAATACTCAAGAAAGGAGAGGCTAATTTCCTCAAAGGAAACTGAGATTGTTCCACAGGACAAGTGGGGTGAAGTTATTGCGGCCCTTGTGGCATGCGGGATTAGTTAACGTTTCTTCAACTGATAGCAGGCAGTTCATCCCAAGCGCAAAGCTCAAACAGAGCCCACTGAAACGGAGCAGGCCCCGAAGAGGGAGGTCACTCTTCCGGAAAGCTGTAACCACAAGCACTGCGGGCAAGTGGGAAATACCTGGGTTATCTGTGTCTTTGGAACATGTTTAACGTTAAAACTGAGATTCCAGAAGGCCTTCTATGGCCACCACGGGGCAGTCCCGTGCAGCTGTGGTGCTGCACTTGGCTACCACTGAGAATCTCCTGCAGAGACACGTCAGCCAGCCGTGAGCAGCAGGGGCAGAATCTGCGGATCTGCTTCTGTCTTGGGGCAGATGAGGCCAGCGCTGAGGCCTGAAAAGGAGCGTCTCAATGCCATGAACACACTGCACACAGCTCCTTTACCCATCATGCACGAGGACAAGGCTCAATCGCTTTTAAGCTTCAGCATAGGCTCTTGCAAAGTTAAAAGCTATTCAGAATGATTCTGTATCTAGTTCTGCTACCGGGGAGAAACAGATTCATACATTCCACTTACTCACGGTTCATATATCGACAACCTTTTTGTTTCAAAATCAGAGTTCCAAAAAAAAAAATCAGAGTTCCAGAAAGAAAGATAAGGGGATAAGTAAACTTCAATGGGATGGTTGTTATGGATCAGGTACCAGACTAAAAACTCTTCCCAGCAAGAATCACCAGGGGAGATTACCATTGTGCCTACTTTACGGAAAAATACATTCCAGTGCAGGGAGGGCAGTAATTGTCCAAAACTGTCCACAGTTAGTGTGATAGTTACATAATCTGTTGTCCATGTGAGACTTAACAGTGAAGGGGTGGGGTTTAGCCTGTCAATCAGGTCGCAGCTTGATGATCTCATTTGGAGGCACTAAGGAGATAAATAGATCGCTGGAGGCAGGACACGTGCTCACTCCCTGTGAGACATTACTGACTACGAGCATGATGCACCTATGCTGATGCAGCCAGAGCTCTAGAGCCGGAGGAGCCACGTGGAGACGCACACCAGTACTGAGATGCTTATACCGCCACTCGATCCTCAAGACTTTCCACCCACTGGCCTGTGATCATTCTTCACTCGGTGTTATTCATGTGTTTTGTGAGTCTGAAGAGGACTTTATAGATTGGTATTGGACATATGGGCTAATATTGGACTTAGGGACTTGATCTGGATGGGGCTGGGATATTTTCTCAATATTCAATTGCTCTTGTATATAAAGCTCTTTCTTATACACGAGTGTCTATGAATTTATTTCTCTAGTCTACCCAGATGAACACAGTTGGTAAGTGATTGAGCTGTGAATTTCATTAATTTCCTTCTCTACACCTGTAAACTTACTTGTAAGATCATATACTTAGTTCCATGCATCAGGTATCATTCAAAATAGGTGTTCCTACTTTGTTCCAAACTTGATCTGTGCTTTTTATTCTGATGTCCTGCCTTTCTATGGCTTGTGCGCTGGTGGCTTTTGGTCTTTACCCCATTTGGCAAATGACCTCTTTCCTGCATCCCCGTAACCTCAACCCAAACCCCAACCCCACTGCCAACCATTTGATCTATCCACATACACATGCTCAATTTTCCCATCCTAAACCTCTCTCTTAACTCTGCCTGCCCTTGCAACTATTGGCCCACTGTGCTTTCTTTTCACCTCTTTACCTTAGGAAAATCATATTCTAGACTCCTAGCTTCTGTTTTATATCCTGTACCATTCCTTCACTGGTCACAGTCCAGTTTACGAGCTATTCCTTCATGGACACGGCTGGGGCCAAAGCCATGATTTTCAAATCCAACAGCTTCTTTTCATACTGCGCCCTTCCTTAACATTTGAGCATTTGATACTATTGATCACTACCTCCTCCCATGGAAAGGCTTTCCTAGCTCTCTTCCAAAATCTGTTGGTGGCTGTCCTCTCACTCGCTCCTATACCTGTACACATCCCTTACATACTAGGGTCACCCGTGTGACCCCCTAATTTCTCCCCTTTCACAGACGTGTCTTCCTTCATTCCTCTGACTGCCACTCTGGACCTTAACTGCCACCAGCAGCCCTATATTCCTACCTGCCACATCTCTTGAGCTCCATGATTGACTGTCTTTTCCAATTATCTTTGGATTTCTCCAATTAAGCAATTCACATAGTTTTCAATAAACCATGTCCCAAAGCAAACACATCTAACCTCTCCTCTCCAGCCCAATATTTTTCTTTTCTTGGCGAATGGGGCAACTACCGGTATGGTAGTTGTGGGGAGGGGAGGTGGTGGTGGAGAGTCTGCATGGTTTCTTCAGCTTTCACAGCCTGACAACATGCAAAGTCCTGATGACTCCATTGGATTCGTCCCCTTGTCTCTGTCACCGGTGTCCGTGAGTAATCTAGCTCTTCAGACCACCTGGGTGGACACAATAGCCTTTCAATGGGTTCTCTGTCGCCAGTCTCTTGTCCTGTGATCAGTCGTCCTTATTACCACCAACGTGAAGTTTGTACAACACATCTATTATTGGGATCCCTCTGGTTACATACCTCCTGAGGCTCCACATGCATGACAGAGAAAGGCTTGCATGGCCAGCTAGTCCAAGCCTAAGTTTTGAGAACTTCTCTGATTTTTGAGAACTTCCTTCATGTGGACTTCATTAATTTGCTCGCCACTACTTTCGTGTTCCCAAGGTTTAGCTTATGCTGCCCCTTGGCCTAGAATGTCCTCCTCCTTTTTGGTCCATCTGGTAAATTCCTAGTATCATCTCTGAAGGTCCCACTTCATACCTGTTGTCTTTATCTTTCCCCAAATATCTGAAGGAATCATTGTTCTCACATCGGTGTTCCCACACACCTCTTCGTTACAGCACTAACCAACCACAGAGCCTCACGGAGCCACTTGCTGACTCACTCGCTTGCACTGATCCACCACGAGTCCTTCAAAGGCAGGGACGGTGTTATTCATCTTTGTTGCACCAGAGTCTAATTCACTGCTTGGATCATAGTTGGATGCTCAATAAATCTGAGTTAAGTGAACACATTAATAGAGCTTTTCCTGTCTGTGGTATTCAATTAGGCTTTATTGTCGTAGCAGTTTGTGAGAACATATGTTCGGTATCAAAGAGCACACAGCAGGTTTTAGTGACACACATGGAGCTTGGATCTCTGTTGAAATAGCTTTAACTTCTGATAGCTGTTAAGAGTGTGAACAATCCACCATTTATAATAACTGATCTCTGTTAGTGTCCTGATAAGTGTGCTTAAAAAAAACAAACATAAGTTAGGCTACATTTTCTATCATTCATTCACTCCTCTGAGCCATCATTCATTGTATCTCTTCCAAAAAGAGGTTGAATGTACAAAAGACCCATGTTGTTTCATGTCAAGCAAGCCCTGGTGGCACAGTGGTTAAAGTGCTTGACTACTAACCGAAAGGTTACCAGAAGAAATCCATCAGCCACTCTGCAGCCGTGGACACCCTGCGGAGTAGTTCTCCCCTGTCCTGTAGGGTTGCTATGATTTCAATCTTCATGATGGCAACTCTTGTGCCTATTTGGGTCTCACCTGTTAGTATATTGTACCTATTATGGGACTCTGCTAGTCCTTCCAAAGAAAGTGGTGAATCTTTCCGGGGAAAATATCCAAGTCCCTTAAATTGACTAACTTTCATTCTGTATTATTTCCTTAAAGTCTTAAAATATCCATTAATTCTATATTGTTTCTTGAAAAAAATTAATATCCTTTAAATTGGTCTCCAATTAGAACTTCTTAAATCCACAAAGCTAACACAGTATTTTGTGCACATGTATTTTCCAAGATGCATCATCAGGCACACTGTAACTTCAAAAAGAGTCAAGTCTCCATCTGAATGTGTCCCAGTACTAACATTTATCCTAAATGACATCCACAGCCTCACCTGTGGGAACACTATCCAAATGTCCAGTGTTCCCATCATTAAGGAGAGACAGCCCCACGGGAGGGCTCCTTCTCTCAGGAGTTCACTGCAACGAGCCCAGGGACTCACCTGGAGAGTTCTGAGGAGAGGACACAGGGGAGCCACGTGGGGACTGGCAGTAGCTGGGGTGGAGTAAGGCATGTGGAGGCACATATGACATGATCTCTTCCTCAAACAAACTGGGAAAGACAAGAAACAAAAGTATGCCTTAGACAAAGGTTTGGGGGAGTCTTGTTTCCACAACGAGTAGGACCTTTGATCTCTCCCTCTGACCCAACCCATCCATGGCCACGCTCACATCCCCAGAAGGAGCATCTGATCCTTTTCCTGGAGACCAACGGGCTAAGGTGTCATCACTTTTGTAAACCCTGTGATTATGTGCTGGTTTTCCTACCAACTTTGGAAATAACTTCTATTTTACCACTTTAACATGTAGGTTTGAGCTTAAGTGTGTGTCTGAAAACGGTAACCAAGTTTTTGGATCTGGAAATAAGATTCAAACACAATAGACAGTACTTTCTTGTGCACTTTGGTATTTATCAAAGGGCAAATAATTTGTTATGTTGTAACTTAAAGTATCTAGAATGAAATATTTAAATTAGAGGATCATTAAACAAATGAAGAATTCTGTTTTGTAATCTTTACAAAAATTCTGAGAGAATTTGTAAAGGTTTCGGGGAAAAATAAAAATTAAAACCCTTACATTTCTAGAATGACGTGAAAGAGTCATGCCCCACTGAAGGGGCCGAGTAACAGAAATGTGGGTGAAGGGAGACAAAGGGCAGTCTAAGATATAAAATAATAATAATATATAATTGATCAAGGATTCACGAGGGTGGGAAGGTGGGGGGCGGGAGGGGAGAAAAGAGGAGCTTATACCAAAGGCTCAAGTAGAAAATACTTTGGAAACGATGATGGCAACATATGTACAAGTGTGCTTGATAAAATTAATGTATGGAATGTTATAAGAGCTGTAAGAGCCCCCAATAAAATTATTTTTTTTAAAAGAGTAATGGTCTAGCCACCATTTTGTAACATAGCTTGCTATTTTATTACCAACTAAACTGTATGGGAAAAATATTACACTTTGTATCCTGTTTTTCTAGGGAACACCTTCTAAATTGAGCGATGATCTCTCCCCCCAAGGTCTTGTCCAGAATCAAGTGAAATATCCACAGAAAGTGGCTAACCCATTGTCATCAAATCAATTCTGGCTCCTAGCCACCTGATTGGACAGAGCAGGGCCGCCCCACAGGCTTCCAAGGTGTTGACCTTGATGAAAGCCAAGGTCACCTCTGCAGCACAGGGAGCAGCTGTGGATTTCAGCCACCAGAGCTCCTTCAGAAAACGAACACATCCCTTTTAATTCTGTTCGGACGACACAGTGAAGGAAAAGAACATTTGACTTTAGTTTTACACGAACAGCAAGTACAGTGAGCCGCAGAAATGATCAGGATCAAGGTCACCGGAAAAATAGGAACAAGACAAGCACATACTGGTTCCCTGAGTGGCTTAGCACGTATCCCCTTTGGTGTTACGGCATTGCAGTGGTGGGTGACCCAACCCCGGGAAAAACAAACTGCTATTTCACTCTGGCCTGTTTGCATTCAAGGAATAATATTTAACATGAGAAAATCTTTTGAAAATGTAGCGTTTCTCTTAGATCCTACTTTATATTTCAAAACCAAAGTTGATCTATCCATCCAGAAATAAACTAAGCTCACTGCCATCAAGTCAGATCCCACTCATAGCAGCCCCGGATGATAGAGAGCTGCCCCTGTGAGCTCTCGAAGCTGCCACTCGTATGGGAGCAGAAAGTCCTGTCTTTCTTTGGCAGTGGACTTGAACCTCGACTTTGTGGTCAGCAGCCCAGGGCGCAATCACTAGCACCACGAGGACCTTCAGGGAAAAAACCAAAATTCAGATGGTTTTATAAAGGGCTATACAGTCTTAGAAACCCACTTAAGAAAGACGAGGCTTTCCGCTTGCATGGAGATTGACAGCCCCCGGTACCCACAGGGGCAGTTCTCCTCTGTTCTGAAGGGTTGCTATGAGTCGGAATCGACTTGATGGCAGTGAATTTGGTCTGAAGTGTTTATTTTAATCTAGTTGACAGTGAGTAAACGGATCAAATTAAAATCATAAAGTAAATCAATAATATTTAGAATCAGCAAAAAGGAATAAAGCACATGTAAGAAAAAAATTGACAGAAAATAATAAATGATCTCTATTCGACTCTGCAAGGAGCCTTGGTAGCACAGTGGTTACCAGTTGGGCTGCTAACTGCAAGGTCAGCAGTTCGAAACCACCAGCTACTCCTTGGGAAAAAGACTGGGCTTTCTACTCCTGTAAAGAGTTACAGGCTCAGAAACTCACAGGGGCAGTTCTACCCTGTCCTACAGAGTCACGAAGAGTCGGCATCTACTTGATGGCAGTGAATTTGGCTTTGATTTTGGCATTCTACTCTACAGAGGTATGCCAGGTGTACTTTATTCAGACATGCTTGCTTCTATTCTACTTTGTGATTGGGAAATCCTGTCGATCGGCCTCTGTAACCTTTCCCTAGTTGGAAAGCATCTTCTTTCTCGGCAGAGTCAAACAATGTTTCAAGCAGTGATCAGAAGTGCCATCTGAGATGAATCATGACACGAGAAGTCTGCATCGCCAACATCAGTGCTTCCGTGCGTCCTCAAGAATAAAGGCGGCACTTTCAGGTGGTCGGTGCTGGCATATCACCTCCTGAAATGCTCCATCGTGTCTGCGGAGAGGGGAACCTCTGCTTGACAACTCACCTCAGCAACATAACGAGGTCCGCATCGCTTGAGAGGCGCACCAAACCTGGGGTTCCTTCTGTTCGGATAAATTGAATCTTCTCCCTATTCAAGCAAGGAAACAACCCAAATATATTTATTGGGTGGACTTAGGGATATAATTCAGTACTTTAGTTGCCATAAAACAACCACCACGACAACCCAATAACAACCTTGTTTGAGTGCCTATGACGGGCCAGGTAGCCCCTAGGACTGTACACATCCAGGAAGACTCGGTGAGCATCTACTGCCCAGCTATGTTGGAGAAAGAAGTTTGTTGTTCATATGACCCTCATCCTTCTGCTCTCCAAATGCTACTGGGAATGACAGTACCATTCAGCTACAAAAACTCCATCACTTGTTGGAGTTAAAGTCTGTGGTGGGTCTGACATCTAAGAAACCATCTAGGCTGTAGAGCATTCAGCTGATCTTGCTGTTCGTAAGAGATTTTGTGTAGCTAGTTCTCTATATGAAGATAGTTATTTATATTCCTGAGGACATACCTTTCAGTTGTGTGTGATGAGCTCATTCCTACTTGGAAGCAGATTGTCTTTAAATAATATATTTCATTGAAACCATACAGTTCTTTTTTCCTGTTACTACAGACAGTGCAATAGACTGTGCTTACACGTGTTTAAATGTGTGTACATGTCAGATACAACAATATGGCTTATTTTATTCCTCTTTATAGACAGATGTGGTACCATCATCTTTTTCTTCCTGGTCATCTTCATGTTACTACTTTTAATTCGTTCAAGGAATACAATTTTAAGAATATTTTTCCTAGTTGCTTTCCCTCATTTCTTTCATATAATTAATTTCACAGCCCACCATTTAATTTTCATATGATGAATTAAGAAAACCCCTATCTATTGGTCCTGAAAACATTACGTTTGGCTGGAACGTAGGGAACAGCAGAGATAGGCAATTTTGTTCTGAGTGTGGACGAGAGTACACTCTCTCCTGACTCCTGAACTATGAAATACAATGCCCATCTATGGTGTGAGCATTGAGGGTTAGCAATATCTATAGGACATTTCATAGTTCCATTTGATGTTTTCACAAAGTTTGTTGCATGCTAAAATTCCAAATTCTGAATTATCTTAAGATTTCTTACAGACTTGAAGGCAAGTATGTTTTGTATGTTTATCTATATAGGGATAGGGTTGAAGTATGAAAACAGTAGATGGATTGATGATTGCCTAGGGGCCCAGAAGGGGAGGATGGGGAAAAAGGGGAGTCAGCATTAATTAAAAAGAAGAAAAGTTTCCGGAGTTGATTGTGGCGATGACTGCACAACCCTTCTTGATATGACTGAATTATTGAGCCATATGATTCAATAACATTAAAGGGGGAAATACCAGTTGAATGGAGTTGAATCCAAGAGCTGGAAGCACCAAGCCAAAAAAAAAATGTATTTGCCCTCAGCCATACTGCCTGGTAAGAATGACAGATAGAATTCAGTCCTTGGCTTCTTCTGGCTAGATCCACTTTAGATAATAGGCTAATTTGGAAATCATCTAAGCTTTCAGAGTTTCAAATACTCTTTTGTATTCTGTATGGTCAGTGGTTTAGTACTAGACGTATGAAAAAAGATTGCTAAGAAATGAACTGCAGATATGTACGTAGAAAACGTGCACAGAAAGCCTCTTGGCCCGGGGCTATTTTAGGATGCAGGACTAAACCAGGCAGACCATTTCCCTCCAGCGTTACAATGATCTATCTGAAGCACGTGATGGAAACCAGGGCCGATCATCTGGCGAACGCTATTTTGATAAGATATAAAAGTTGGCTTAAGAAAAACTAAACTAGAGACAAATTATCTTGGAGAAAATGAGCAGTAACTCAACCAAAGAAGTCCTCTCTTAAGGGTCAGTAACAATATGCTTTGATCTTGAAGAATCAAGGGCAATCTCCAACAAACATACAGTCTATCGCCCTAGGCTATCTTCTCTAAGAGCCCAGGCAAAGAGAACAAAACCAAAGAACAAGTAAGCGGAGCCTCTCCCCAGCTTCCTTAAAGGGAGTGGTTGAATGATTATAAAGATATCCTGCAGCGGGCCATGGTCGGCAGGCTTCCTGTGAATCAGACAAACATCACAGCTTCCTGAGTTACAAGGATGACGGGTAAGAAAGGAGGAAGGCACCAGGGAAATGTGCCAACTGGCTAACTTTCCATCACTTTCCAAATAGTAACTGGTGAGTTAGTTAAAGTTTATTGTGCCAACCTGGCCGATAAACACATGTGGGGTTAACTGAAGGGCAGAGAGATAAATGGCTTGGTGAGCCTTGTCTTTCTAGTTCTTGGGTCTCTTGCTTTGTGATGGTCAGACCAGGGTGCAGCTGCCTTAGCCAGTTCCCTGCTTCAACTGACAAGGCTCACTTCCTGCAA